TGGAAGGGGAGAGGGAGTGGGAAAGGGGAGGGATGCGGGTGGGAGATGATATGGGGGGGAAGCCATTGTAATCCATAAGCCATACTTTGGAAATTTATATTCATTAAATAAAAGTTAAGAAAAAACAAAAAACAAAAAACAAACAAACAAAAAAAACAAAAAAAAAAAAAAGAAAAGGCAGAGAAAATGGTGGTTACCTGAGGCTGCAGTGTAGGGAAAGTTGGAATATGTTGGAAAAGTATCCAAAATGTCAATGAGACAAGAGAAACACATTCCAGGAACCTATTTGTGGTAACAATAGTAGCAGTATAGTGTATACCTGGATATTTCTAAGAGTAGACTGTTATTTCACTATGAAAAATGGAAAATTATGCGAGATAATTCATTATGGGAAATGGATTGGCTTAGCAATTACACAATATTCACACACAGCAAAATGTTATTTTATACATCATAAATTAATTCAGTTTATGGGTAAGGTTGTTGGTCGTTTGAAGATAAGAATAGTGTCTTGGCTTTCCATGCCTGAAATGTTCTCATGGGCTTTTCAGTCAGATTGGAGTTGGCGAACTCAAAAGGCTTCCATAGCCTTGGCAACTCAGGACAAGAGCCTAGGGGGATTACTGACGCCATAAACAAGACTGTCAATTTGTTAAGTCAACAACAGGAGGCACTGTGCACTTACTCCTCATGTAGGAGCTCTGTCCTTAACGTGTTGTTCAATGTGAATTAATGCTATAACTAGTACTCAAACAGTATTTTACACTTTGTGTTTCTGTGTGAGTGCAAACTGTTGAAATCTTTACTTAATTTATACTAAATTGATCTTCTGTATATAATAAGTATTGAAAATGAATCTTGATGTGAATGGAAGGGGAGAGGGTGCAGGCCATGGGAGGGGTGCGAGTGGGAGTGACATTATGGGGGGGAAAAAGCCATTGTAATCCATAAACTGTACTTTGGAAATTTATATTTATTTAATAAAAGTTAAAAAAAAACTCTGATTACTCACTTAGGGAAAACCAACGCAAAATATAAAAGTAAATAAACAAGAGGTTAGTGATATGAAATAGTGAGCTATGGCCCTGCCTACAGAGCTGGCATCCCATACAAGTGCCAGTTCTATACTCTGGATGCTCCTGTTCTGATCCAGCTCTCTGCTAGTTGCCTGGAGGAGCAGCAGAAAATGGCCCAAGTGCTTGGACCCCTGCACCCACATGGGAGGCCCTGAAGAAGCTCTTAGTTCCTGGCTTCAGATCGACCCAGCTCCAACAACTGTGGCCATCTCAGGAGTGAACCAGGAGATGGAAGACCCCTTCTCTGTAGCTCTACCTTTCAAATAAAATCTTAAGACAACAACAACAAAAACACGACATGGCTGAACCACATGGAGGGTTTAGATCAGTAAAAGTGTGTTTTCATTTCTCTTGGAAAACGTGCAAGGGTCACTCCTCCTAAACTTGCACTCTGCCTGAGTCTCTGAAGCCACAAAAACTGCCCTTTGTTGTTGCCTCTGCTAAAGTCCCAGGGAGATGCACTGGAACCCAGCTGATTTGGGGGAAGTGAGGAGATCCATAGAGGTATTTTTATGGGAATTCTGTAGGGGACCATACCTTCAGTGTCCAGGGTTTCCCAGTCTAGAGCAAAGACTGCTCCCCTCACCCACCCCACTTTCCTCCCCTCGCTGCTTGTGTTTGTATGTTTTTGTGGTTGATTTTGTTTGTCTGAGAGGCAGAGAAAGAGCCTGGACAGACACAGGAGGGCTCCCATCGCTCCCTAAGTGCTGGCAGCTGAGGGGTATACTATGTATATACCAAAATACTTGAACAAGAGATATCCAAGAGATACCTGCATCATGTTTTTAGCAGCCCTGTTCAAAATAGCCAAAATCTGGAACCCAGCAAGGTGTCCATCATTAGATGAGTGGGTAAAGACAATGTGGTATACATACACAATGGAATGTTACCCAGCCACAAAAGCAATGAAATTCTTATATTTGCAGCAAAATGAGCATAACTGTAGCACATCGTTTTGGGTGAAATAAGCTGCACCCAAAAAGAAAACACCACTTGTTGCCCCTCATATCATTTTAGGGGTAAAAAGAATTGTTATTGTGCATCAGTATTGCTGCAAATACAGTTTTCTTAAACTTTATTTTATACCTTTGTGAAACCAATGGTTAACACTCTTATACTACCATAGTTTTAATGATATGTAATTACTTTACAATTTACCGCAAAAGAGTGAAATGATCATGTTTTATTCAGTTGCTGCTTACAGTCATTGTCTATATTCTCACTAAACTGGTGGCATTTTGGTTTTTACCTGTTAAACTTATTTGGTAAAGTATTAAGCCTTTTTACTGCAATGTAATTTGAAACTTGGCTCTCTCAAAATCTTAAACCAAAGACAAAGAAAAGGGAGAAGGAAACACGGCAGAAGGGAGAAAGGGGGAGTGAGGAAGGGAATATCATTAAGTTCTTACAACTGTGTCAACAAAGCACACTGTGTCTGAGAAACACTAATTAAAATTAAAAGAAAATACAAAGAAAAGCAATGCACATTAATTTGTTCTCTGCATCACCACTTACCTATATGCTAAAAGAAATGCAAAATCTCAGTATTAGAACTAAGAAATGAGGTACATTAAATAAATAACAGACATAGAGACATATTAATTTTAAACACGATGGCCCAGAAACAAAAACTACATATGTCACAAGATGCATATCTTCCTATTGCTCCACCACTCGTGGAGGAACGACACCAGACCCTGCGCTGTACTCTTTCCCCAGCTCTTTCCGGGTTTGCTGCTGGTCCCCCACTCGCGGAGGAACAATGCCATCCCGGGTTTGCTGCCGGCCCCCCTCCCACCCCCATCTCTGTGGAGGGGCGGCATCCCCGCCGCTTTCCCTGCTTCCGTGGAGGAGCGGCATACCGCCGGCTGGATCTCAGGGGTATCTCAGGGGTTCCTCAGGGGTTCCTCAGATGTTCCTGATGCATGTTGTCTCTCTCCTCCTTTATAGTCCTCTTCCACCAATCCCAACTCTCCTGGCGTTCTCTCCCCATGCACTGAGCAGCTGCTCTCCTCCAATCAGGAGCAGGATCAGCTCCTGCAGCTTATTAGTCAAATTGGTGAGGCAGCTGTGTAGAAGTTGTTTACTCTCTCTCAGTGCCATATGATGGGAGATCAGATGCATAGAATTAGTCTTATTTCCAGTAATTTAGTCTAGTCTCAGTTGCTCCCCACACTTGCTTTCTCTTCCTTTAGCATATTGTAACAATTATGACTAGCTTTCCTCTCCAATCTCTTCATTTTTAAAGCCTACCTGAAGTCAAGTCCTGAATTCATAATACAAGAGTACAGGCCCAAAACAATCATTTTACATTGGCTAATATCTGTCTCGTTACTAACAATTCACGTCAAGAGAAATAAATAGGAAACAACAACAGCAACAACCAAAAAAAAAAAAACTCTTGATAATCTTAAAATGTTCTCCCCACATTAGTCACATAAAAAGATTTAAAGAAACTTTAAACTCTGTGACAACAGGAAAAATCCTCCACACTGTGAATCACATAAGACAAAAATATTTCAAATACACTTGCCTATACTCATCAATTTAAAAATTATTCTAGAATGCGCTAGTAATTATTCGTTTTAATACCATCAAGGTGGGAGTTTTCATTGGAAATGACAATAAATAAACAAATAAAAAAATAAACCACCAGGCTACATTCTGTCTCAGCAGGAAAACAGGAGTGTCCAGGCACTCTCCCAGGGTGCAGCCCACTGTGTGTGTGTGCTGAGTTCTGCTTCCCAGACCCTCTGTGAGTAGTGAGGGCTCTGCCAGACACTAGGGCTGCAACTTGAAATTGAGTTTCACTCCTGCCACAACCTGCAGCCACCGTCTCGTCAGCACCGAAATAACAAAGCCAGATAAATGCTGTGGACCACAACCTCTAGGCAAGAGTATGGTGCCTGTACTCTTGTTTCTGCTAATAGCGTCTAAATGGAAACATATACAGAAATTTTTGAAATTTTCTATCTAACATGCCTTTCTAGCTAACACTGCACTTCTTCGCTGACGGCTGACTTCTTGACCTCTCAGAAGTCAGCACTGCTGCGGTCGCATACATCCTCGCTGCCGGCAGCCGTTGATCTGCGCCACTCCGCCCACAGCATTCAATGCTACGGACACAGACGCTGACCCAACCCCAACACTGCACACGACTCAGCGTTGGGGTCGCGTGGGACGTCATGGGCGTAGCAGCTCGGTTCATTGGCTGGCAGCGGCGGCGGCAGCGGTGCTGACTTCTGAGAGATCGAAATGTCGGCAGTCTATGAGGAAGCCCAGGTAGGTAAGGGCGGTGGTGGTGAAGCCGTGGGCAGCGGCTGTGAAACAGGAGGCAGTGGCGGCTTAGGCCAAGGCAGAGCCGCAATTCCCGTCCAGGACAGTGCCAAGGAGCCGCCACCGCCACCTGTATCCTGCCACCCCACACAGTCGTTGCCGAACTGCCCAAGGTTTCACCTGCACGGCCCCTACTTACCCGCGCTTCTTAGTTAACCAACCTCTCGCCTAACTTTCAGGAAAGTCGCCGCATCCTTCCTTGCCGCGGGCAGATGAACCCAGCTACTCTGCCCATGACGTTCCACGTCCCTGTTGCAGCGCTGTGTGCGGCGTCTGCATCCGCGTCAGCGCCCTGTGCGGCGTCGGCGTCAGCGTCAGCACCGTGTACGGCGTCGGCATCCGCGTCAGCGCCGTGTGCGACGTCGGCGTCCGCGTCTGCGCCGTGTGCGGTGTCGGCGTCAGCATCAGTGACCGTAGCGGTGTCGGCGTTAGCGTCAGTGTCCGTAGCGGCGTCGGCGTCAGCGCCATGTGCGGCGTCGGCGTCAGCGTCTGTGTCCGTAGTGGCGTCGGCGTCAGCGTCAGCGCCGTGTGCGGCGTCGGCGTCAGCGTCAGCCTCGTGTGCGGCGTCGGCGTCAGCGTCAGTGTCCATAGCGGCGTCGGCGTCATCGTCAGCGCCGTGTGCGGCGTCAGCGTCAGTGTCCATAGCAGCGTCGGCGTCAGCGCCGTGTGCGGCGTCGGCGTCAGCGTCAGTGTCCGTAGCGGTGTCGGCGTCAGCGTCAGCGCCGTGTGCGGCGTCGGCGTCAGTGTCTGTGTCCGTAGCAGCGTCGGGTCAGCGTCAGTGTCCTAGCGGCGTAGGCGTCAGCGTCTGTGTCCGTAGTGGCGTCGGCGTCAGCGTCAGCGTCAGCGTCAGCGCCATGTGCGGCGTCGGCGTCAGCGTCTGTGTCCGTAGCGAAGTCCGCGTCAGCGTCAGCGCCATGTGCGCCGTCAGCGTCAGCGTCCATAGCGGCGTCGGCGTCAGCGTCAGCGCCGTGTGCGGCGTCGGCGTCAGCGTCCGTGTCCGTAGTGGCGTCGGCGTCAGCGTCCCTACGTCGGGGTTGCGTGGGACGTTTTGGGCGGGGAGCTCCGTCCATCGGCCGGCGGTCACGAGAAAGGATGGAGAGGCGGCGCTGACGACCCTTCTGAGAGGTGAGCGGTGTCAGCGTTTATCGAGGAAGTGCAGGTAGGTGGGGGCTGTGGTGAAACCTTGGTGTGGCGGGGTAGGCGGCAGAGGCGACAGCGACTGTGAGGGGAAGCAGTGAAACAGGCGGCGGTGGCGGCTCCGTGTCCGGCGTCCTGGGCGGGGAATTGTGGCTCTGCCTCAGTCTAACGGAAGCCCTTGGCCTCCTAAGCAGAAAGCCTCAGTGTTTGGTGGTGATGGCTGTGGCAGCAATTCGTCTTGTGGTGGTGGAGAACAGGTAGCAATGCTGTCAGTGTCAGTGCCCTGTAGGGGGTGTCGTGTGTGGGTAGCACAGTTTGTCGGTGGGAGGTGGCGAGGAAATTTGCGCGGCAGCAGGGCCATTCTGATGCAGAGTCTGGTAGTCTGTAGCGTTGAGCGGCTGGCAAGGAAGCAGTTTGTATGCCCGGCGGTGCTGATGCGATGGACGGTGGCGACGAATGAGGTGGCAGTGGCACCAGTGACAGCGGCAGAGAGAGACCTGGTGGTGGCAGCTTGAGTTGGCAGTGGCGTCAGCATCAGGTAGGCATTTCAAATTAACAGCTTGGTAGGAAAAGTAGTTATAATAGTCATATATGCTAAATGAAGGGAAAGGAAGATAGGCGGCCAGCGAGGAAGCAGTATGTAGGTGCAGCAGTGGAAGTGTGTGCATTTCAGGCCCCCCACTCCCCCAAAACCCCTCAGCTGCCAGCGCTTAGGGAGCAATGGGAGCCCTCCTGTATTTGTGCAGACTCTTTCTCTGCCTCTCAGACAAACAAAATCAACCACTCCAACCGGAGTCTGGTGGTCGGCGAGGTAGCAGTATGTAGGGACGGCAGTGCTGACAGATTCGGCAAGTTTCTGAATTTGATATAATTCAAGTTTGTAATGTTTTGTTGCCTATCCTTTAGAGTCTTTTCCGAGAAATTCTTGCCCATATCATTGTCTTGAAATATTTTTTCTGTACTTTCTTGTAATAATTTTAGAGGTCCAGGTATTTCATGCAGGTCATTAATGCACTTTGTGCTGATATTTTATATATAATGAGAAGTAGGGATCCAGTTCCTTCCACATTTTTATTCCATCACCACTTATTGAAAAGACTACCCTTGTAGAAATGTAGGCTCTGAACATGTTAGTGAAAATTCAGTTGGCTGTATGTATGTGGGTTGGTTTCTAGGTGCCCTGTTCTGTTCCATTGATTTGTGTGTTTTGTTTGCTTTAGCCTGTCCCGTGTTGTTTTAATTACCATGGCTTTTCAGTATACTTTCAAATCAGGTGTTATGATGGTCACAGTTTGAATTTTTTTTTGTTTGTTTATTTGTTTTTTTTTGTTGTTTTTTTTTGTTTTTTTTTGTTTTTTTTGGCTGGGGATAGCTGTGGCTATGATAGGTCCTTTATGGTTCCATATGAATTTAGATTTTTTTTCTGATTCTGTAAATAATTGCGTCAGTATTTTGGTAGGAATTATATTCTGTAGATTGCTTTTATATGCACATTTTGATGATGATATTCTAATCCCTGAAAAAAGTTTTTTTTCATTTTCTGTTTCCTTAATGGCTTCTGATTAGTGTTTTGGAATTTATTTTACTGTAGAGATCATTCACTTTCGGTTATCTGTTACTAAATGTTTAAATTTTTGTAGCTTTCTGAAAGGTATTTCTTTCTTGATATCTCTTTCACCAATATCATTACTGGTGAATAAAAACGCTTTTTATACCTTGACTTTATATCCTGAGATCGTACTGAATTGGTTTCTCATTTCTACCTTACTTTTGATGATTATTTAGATTGTTTATGACAGGTTTGATAAAGGCCGATTACAAAAATTAAATGCACATGTATAGGTGTTAGCTAGAAAGGCTTTGTTATTTCGGTGCTGACGAGACGGTGGCTGCAGGTTGTGGCAGGAGTGAAACTCAATTTCAAGTTGCAGCCCTAGTGTCTGGCAGAGCCCTCACTACTCACAGAGGGTCTGGGAAGCAGAACTCAGCACACACACACAGTGGGCTGCACCCTGGGAGAGTGGCTGGACACTCCTGTCTTCCTGCTGAGACAGAATGTAGCCTGGTGGTTTATTTTTTTATTTGTTTATTTATTGTCATTTCCAATGAAAACTCCCACCTTGATGGTATTAAAACGAATAATTACTAGCGCATTCTAGAATAATTTTTAAATTGATGAGTATAGGCAAGTGTATTTGAAATATTTTTGTCTTATGTGATTCACAGTGTGGAGGATTTTTCCTGTTGTCACAGAGTTTAAAGTTTCTTTAAATCTTTTTATGTGACTAATGTGGGGAGAACATTTTAAGATTATCAAGAGTTTTTTTTTTTTTTTGGTTGCTGTTGTTGTCGTTTCCTATTTATTTCTCTTGACATGAATTGTTAGTAACGAGACAGATATTAGCCAATGTAAAATGATTGTTTTGGGCCTGTACTCTTGTATTATGAATTCAGGACTTGACTTCAGGTAGGCTTTAAAAATGAAGAGATTGGAGAGGAAAGCTAGTCATAATTGTTACAATATGCTAAAGGAAGAGAAAGGAAGATATGCATCTTGTGACATATGTAGTTTTTGTTTATGTGCCATCATGTTTAAAGTTAATATGTCTCTATGTCTGTTATTTATTTAATGTACCTCATTTCTTAGTTCTAATACTGAGATTTTGCATTTCTTTTAGCATATAGGTAAGTGGTGATGCAGAGAACAAATTAATGTGCATCGCTTTTCTTTGTATTTTCTTTTAATTTTAATTAGTGTTTCTCAGACTCAGTGTGCTTTGTTGACACAGTTGTAAGAACTTAATGATATTCCCTTCCTCACTCCCCCTTTCTCCCTTCTGCCGTGTTTCCTTCTCCCTTTTCTTTGTCTTTGGTTTAAGATTTTGAGAGAGCCAAGTTTCAAATTACATTGCAGTAAAAAGGCTTAATACTTTACCACATAAAGGTGAAAACAAAAATGCCACCAGTTTAGTGAGAATATAGACAATGACTGTAAGCAGCAACTGAATAAAACATGATCATTTCACTCTTATGCGGTAAATTGTAAAGTGATTACATATCATTGAAACTATGGTAGTATAAGAGTGTTAACCATTGGTTTCACAAAGGTATAAAATAAAGTTTAAGAAAACTATTTGCAGCAATACTGATGCACAATAACAATTCTTTTTACCCCTAAAATGATATGAGGGGCAACAAGTGGTGTTTTCTTTTTGGGTGCAGCTTATTTCACCCAAAACGATGTGCTACAGTTATGCTCATTTTGCTGCAAATATAAGAATTTCATTGCTTTTGTGGCTGGGTAACATTCCATTGTGTATGTATACCACATTGTCTTTACCCACTCATCTAATGATGGACACCTTGCTGGGTTCCAGATTTTGGCTATTTTGAACAGGGCTGCTAAAAACATGATGCAGGTATCTCTTGGATATCTCTTGTTCAAGTATTTTGGTATATACATAGTATACCCCTCAGCTGCCAGCACTTAGGGAGCGATGGGAGCCCTCCTGTGTCTGTCCAGGCTCTTTCTCTGCCTCTCAGACAAACAAAATCAACCACAAAAACATACAAACACAAGCAGCGAGGGGAGGAAAGTGGGGTGGGTGAGGGGAGCAGTCTTTGCTCTAGACTGGGAAACCCTGGACACTGAAGGTATGGTCCCCTACAGAATTCCCATAAAAATACCTCTATGGATCTCCTCACTTCCCCCAAATCAGCTGGGTTCCAGTGCATCTCCCTGGGACTTTAGCAGAGGCAACAACAAAGGGCAGTTTTTGTGGCTTCAGAGACTCAGGCAGAGTGCAAGTTTAGGAGGAGTGACCCTTGCACGTTTTCCAAGAGAAATGAAAACACACTTTTACTGATCTAAACCCTCCATGTGGTTCAGCCATGTCGTGTTTTTGTTGTTGTTGTCTTAAGATTTTATTTGAAAGGTAGAGCTACAGAGAAGGGGTCTTCCATCTCCTGGTTCACTCCTGAGATGGCCACAGTTGTTGGAGCTGGGTCGATCTGAAGCCAGGAACTAAGAGCTTCTTCAGGGCCTCCCATGTGGGTGCAGGGGTCCAAGCACTTGGGCCATTTTCTGCTGCTCCTCCAGGCAACTAGCAGAGAGCTGGATCAGAACAGGAGCATCCAGAGTATAGAACTGGCACTTGTATGGGATGCCAGCTCTGTAGGCAGGGCCATAGCTCACTATTTCATATCACTAACCTCTTGTTTATTTACTTTTATATTTTGCGTTGGTTTTCCCTAAGTGAGTAATCCAGAGGTTTTTTTAACTTTTATTAAATAAATATAAATTTCCAAAGTACAGTTTATGGATTACAATGGCTTTTTCCCCCCCACTACTTCCCTCCTACCTACAACCCTCCCATGGCCTGCACCCTCTCCCCTTCCATTCACATCAAGATTCATTTTCAATTCTCTTTAAATACAGGAGATCAATTTAGTATAAATTAAGTAAAGATTTCAACAGTTTGCACCCACACAGAAACACAAAGTGTAAAATACTGTTTGAGTACTAGTTATAGCATTAATTCACATTGAACAACATGTTAAGGACAGAGCTCCTACATGAGGAGTAAGTGCACAGTGCCTCCTGTTGTTGACTTAACAAATTGACCCTCTTGTTTATGGCGTCAGTAATCCCCCTAGGCTCTTGTCCTGAGTTGCCAAGGCTATGGAAGCCTTTTGAGTTTGCCGACTCCAGTCTTCTTTAGACAAGGTCATAGTCAAAATGGAAGTTCTCACCTCCCTTCAGAGAAAGGTACCTTCTTCTTTGATGAACCGTTCTTTCCACTGGGATCTCACTCATAGAGATCTTTCATTTAGGTTCTCTCTCTTTTTTTTTGCCAGAGTGTCTTGGCTTTCCATGCCTAAAATACTCTCATGGGCTCTTCAGCCAGATAATCCAGAGTTTATTTTGTAGACATTGTGTAACATTGTGTAACTTGAATTATTAGTTATTTTTAAAATTATTTTGTTACTTTATGTTGTGTATGTTATGTTATTTATTTTACTTGAGAGGGAGAGAGAGAGAGCACTCCCATTCCTGACTGACTCCCCAAGCTTGTGAGTGAGGATCTCCGGATCTCACTTCAGGTCACCCACATGGATTTAGAGGATTCCAGTACTTAAGTGATCAGCTGCCCTTCCAGGGCACACAATAGCAGGACTCTGGAATGGGGAGAAAAACTGGTACTTGAACCCAGGCATTACAGTATATTGGTGTCATAGCCACGGTGCCAGAAATCTGCTCCATAGTAATTTTTAAAAGATTATTGTTTTGATGCATGTGTGATAATTTTAGAAACAGAGGGAAGAACTTTTTGAAGCTGGTATTTTGTAACAGGAGGAGAAGTTTGCAATTGCTGATAGACACAGAAGTCAGCAATTGGACAGTAGAGATTTCTGCAGAAACATTTAGTAGTGAAGAATGGTTTGATGCAGATGAAAAAATATCAAGTGAAAGTCACCTTAGATAGGCTGTTTTTATTGAAGTGTGAGATAATTATGAAAATTTATAAATATATACTATAGCCATTTTTTCTCAAATCCAATTCACCACATTTTAAATAATTACCTAGTAGGGACAACTTTTTTTATCTTAATATTGTCTGTGTTCCTTTTCTTCATCTACCAAGATCTTTTCCTCTTTCCTATATTTAAATGCCATACTTAATTTGTGTTGTCTTACCTCTATGATTATGAAGACTTTTGTACTTCATACATTTCTCATATTCTTTATTATTTTCCAGGCTTAAAATCTGAATGATCATTTCCCCTGTCTTCTTTCCTTTTTCTATCTACATCTCCTGTGTTTCTTTTTTCTTTTTCTAAGGAAGCCAAAATATGCCAATTCTGTCATCCATAAAAACTGGTATAAACAGGAAAGTGAATACAGAAAGTTTTTAATTACTTGATTCAGTGTGATTAGTTCCATATCTGGAGGGTTATTGTGTTTTTTTAGGAATTCTCATGCTACTTTGCTTCTTCATGTCTCCTGTGTCTATGTTGACGTCTGCCTATCTTGTGTATTTGTCTTTTCATTTTTATTTTCTTTAAAGATTTATTTATTTATTATTTCAAAGTCAGAGTTACACTGAGAGAGGAGAGGCAGAGGCGGAGAGAGAGAGAGAGAGAGAGAGAGAGAGAGAGAGTGAGTTAGTTCTTCCATCCGTTGGTTCACTCCCCAATTGGCTGCAATGGCTAAAGCTGTGCCGACCAGGAGCCAGGAGCTTCTTCCAGTCTCCCACATGGGTTCAGGTGGCCAAGGACTTGAGCCACCCTCCACTGCTTTCCCAGGCCATAGCAGAGAGCTGGATTGGAAGAGGAGCAGATGGGACTAGAACCTGCACCTATATGGGATGCCAGCACTTCAGGCCAGCACATTAACCCACTGTGCCACAGCGCCAGCCCCATCCCTTGTAGTTCTATAAAGAGTTCCATATGTCTGATTTCTGCTGTACTATATTTATGCAATGCAAAGTCAGAGTGGATGGCAACTTGGGGTATAGCGTGCTGGTCATATAAATTTTTTCTTCGTTAGTACACTTTATAGAAACTTAGGCAATACAGAGAAAGGATTAACAGTAAAATTCTCTCAAATCCTGCCATTGAGTCAATCGCTAGTTTCTCTAGGAGGAAGTTTTTTATGCCATGGGATACTAGGGTTGTATAAAATGTTTCCAGAGTCATTTATGAAAGTTGTTTGATACACCTGTATTTAATATTTATATAGTGGATGCAGAGGTAGTGACAGTATCAATCTGACAGTAGCAGTCTGAGAGGACTGAACAGGAATACTTTTAGTGTTCAGGGCATAGTATTACCTATTTTACCCTTAACTAATACGCGAAGTAGTCTTTCAGTTAGGTTTGTATTTAAGTCTGAATACTTGTACTTAGATGACGTAAGACACACTCTTGAGTTCTTGTGTACATTTCCTTGTGACTTTTATGAATTTGAATGAAACCCTGTCCATATAAATTTTTTTTTGACAGGCAGAGTGGACAGTGAGAGAGAGAGACAGACAGAAAGGTCTTCCTTTTTGCCGTTTTTCACCCTCCAATGGCTGCAACAGCCGGCGCGCTGTGGCCGGCGCACCGCGCTGATCCGATGGCAGGAGCCAGGTGCTTCTCCTGGTCTCCCATGGGGTGTAGGACCCAAGTACTTGGGCCATCCTCCACTGCCTTCCCGGGGCACAGCAGAGAGCTGGGCTGGAAGTGGGGCAACCGAGACAGAATCCGGCGCCCCAACCGGGACTAGAACCCGGTGTGCCGGCACCGCAAGGCGGAGGAATAGCCTAGTGATAATTTTTAAAGCAATTAAATGCTTGGTCTTTATGAATTGCTAGATTTACTGTTATTCTACTGGATGTAGAGTGTCAAGGAAAAGTCATTTGGCATTGCTTGGGATGCTGGCACCCAATATTGGATTGCCTGTGTGCATGTTGTGGTTCTACTCTCATATCCTGGGAGAGGCCTCAGGTGGTGGCTCATGTACATTGGGTCACTGCCACACATGTTGTATACCTGACTTGAGTTCCTATCTCAGTTTTCTTTTCTGCCATCTCCCTAGACCCACAGGTAGTATGATTTGCATGCACGTAAAATAGTTGGTTAATATCCTGTGGCAAGACCATCTAATGCCCAGTAGAACTAATGCTTGACAGCAGAGAAGGTTCTAGCTGCTGTTACCAAGGAATCTAGTGTGTGTATATTTCACATATTTAGGTAGGTAGTGATGGAACAAGGACATAAGCCTTAGCCATTTGGTTCTTGTTACCCCTTCAATCTTTGATGAGATGGATTTTGTCTCATCTCCTGTTGTTCTCCACCCCACCCCATGCATTCTAATGCATGTTTATTCTAACACATGTTTATTCTAACATATTGTGTATGTCATAAGGCTTATTATTCATGTCAGTCATGAACTCTGTTACCATTGTGGGCAAGAGGCCCACACAGGAAGAAGTTATACAGATTTGGGTAAGCTGAAAATATATTAAAAATTCTAGAAAAAGATTTGAATCTGTGTCTATCAGATGTTTCCTACTTTCTTCTTAAAAACAGAATAGTTAATGCATTTGTACAAATAGCTACGATGGAAGAAGGATTCAAAGTTTGTAGCATACATTGGATGTTTTTGTAAAAGCTGCTTTGGTTTTCAGTCTTTTACTGTATTTCACTGCCTTTTCACTCTTGTGGTTAAACTATTGCACTGTGTTAGACAGTCTTCTTACCATTACATTTTACATAACTAATGTCTGTATGCTTCACAGTAAAAGTGTACTACACTCAAATTAGAAGAAATTGAAGCAAATAGCAGTCAAATTCACCTAAATGAATGTTAGCGGCTCAAGGAGTTTTAAGTACTCATTTGGCAACATGTGTTATAAGTGATGAGTGTATTTCTTTTTTTTCTAACTTTTATTTAGTATATATAAATTTCCAAAGTACAGTTTATGGATTACAATGGCTTTTTCCCCCCACTACTTCCCTCCCACCTACAACCCTCCCATGGCCTGCACCCTCTCCCCTTCCATTCACATCAAGATTCATTTTCAATTCTCTTTAAATACAGAAGATCAATTTAGTATAAATTAAGTAAAGATTTCAACAGTTTGCACCCACACAGAAACACAAAGTGTAAAATACTGTTTGAGTACTAGTTATAGCATTAATTCACATTGAACAACACGTTAAGGACAGAGCTCCTACATGAGGAGTAAGTGCACAGTGCCTCCTGTTGTTGACTTAACAAATTGACAGTCTTGTTTATGGCGTCAGTAATCCCCCTAGGCTCTTGTCCTGAGTTGCCAAGGCTATGGAAGCCTTTTGAGTTCGCCAACTCCAATCTGACTGAAAAGCCCATGAGAACATTTCAGGCATGGAAAGCCAAGACACTATTATGATCTTCAAACGACCAACAACCTTACCCATAAACTGAATTAATTTATGATGTATAAAATAACATTTTGCTGTGTGTGAATATTGTGTAATTGCTAAGCCAATCTATTTCCCATATATGAATTATCTCGCATAATTTTCCGTTTTTCATAGTGAAATAACAGTCTACTCTTACAAATATCCAGGTATACACTATACTGCTACTATTGTGGTTACCACAAATAGGTTCCTGGAATGTGTTTCTCTTGTCTCATTAACATTTTGGATACTTTTCCAACATCTTCCAACTTTCCCTACTCTGCAGCCTCAGGTAACCACCATTTTCTCTGCCTTTTCTTTTAGTTTGACTTTTGATTTTTGACATGAGTTCCTCCTTCTGTAACCCTGAAAAGAATTCTGAAGTGTAAGAGTATATATAGTACATGGTCTTTATCCATTCAGCAGTTGGTGGGCATTGCGGTGGGCCCATAGATAGCATATGGTGAATTCACTGCAATGACCATGAGTGGGCAGATATCTCTTTAACATACTGAGTTAATTTCCTTTAGATATGGATACAGAAGTGGGATCCAGTAGTGGTATCATATGGTACTTTTACTTTTAGTCTTTTGAAGATCGTTCAGCGTCTTCTATAAAATTTGTTGTAATTCACATTCCAACCAATTTCAAGGTGTATATTTGTCATAGTGTTTAAGATGCCATTTGCGATGCCTGATTCCCATTAGATTTCCTGGTTTTGAGTCTTAGCTCCACTTGTGATTCCAGCTTCTTCCCGATGTCCACCCTGGAAAGCAGAAGATGATGATTGCTCAAATACTTGGGTTCCTGCCACTCTTAGGGGAGACCCAGATTCATTTGATGTTCTCATTTGTTTACTTTCTCCATTGAAAAAAGATATAGGTATTTATTTTAAAGCCAGTGCAGCAGCAGAGAGAGAGAGAGAGAGAGAGAGAGAGAGAGAATGTGTGTGTGTGTGTGTGTGTGTGTGACAGAGAGAGAGAGTTAGATAGAGAGGGAGTATGAGAGAGAGAGAGAGAGAAGGGGAGGGGAGGGGATTGGAGAAGAGGGAAGGAAGGAGAATGGAGAGGAGATGAGGGGAGAAGAAGAGGGAGCGGAGGAAAAGGGATACCCATGCACTAGTTTATTCTTCAAATGACTGAAACAGCCATGCCTGAATCAAGTCAAATACAGGAGCCAGAAAATCTTTTCCAGTCTCCCACATTGGTGAGAGAACCCAAGTATTTGGGCCATGTTTTACAGTGTCCCAAGTGTCTTAGCAGTATGCTAGGTTGATGAAAAGAATAGCTGAGACTTGAATCAGTACTCCAGTACAGTATGCTTGCTTCCCAAGTAGCTACTTAACTTGCTGTGCCACAACATTCAACCCTCTGTCTTCAGTTTTCAAATAACAGTATCCACGTTACCCATGTCTCCTTCATATTACCACCCACTCTCCTCCATTTCAGGATAATAGAAGAAGTTGCTGGTACAGGCTGGGAAGCAGCAATTTCCACAGACCAGATTCAGCAGGTGGCTTGTTTTTGTACTGCT